TAACAATAGATTATGAAAATCATTTAATCATTAAGTCATGAAGTGTATTTATTAATATTCACTACTGTTTCCTGGTATTGCCTGTTCCTTCATTTTTCAGGAGACAGGGAAAAGGAGAAAAGAGTCTTTAATCTTCAGCAAGGTGTTTGGGCTCACATCAGTGATAATATTCCATAAAACTAACGGAGACCCTAAGTACTTCAGTCCAAATCAGTACCACATGATTTTCCACCACTTCAGAACACTAGGGACTGAAGGTACTTTTTCCCTGGAGTCCTGGAAAGTGATGGATTGAATTCTAAAAATGAACTTTGCTGTGAGAGCAATGGCTTAACCTTATCTTTGAAGTCTGCATGACTTTCCAAAGGAATTCTACCTGAGGACAGACAGCCCAATTTATAACTATTTAAAAATTTTAATACACATATAAGGAACTGAAGATTTCCATTAGTTTCTGCCAAAAATCTCTATTTTTTATTTTTCTGCATGACTAAGAACATCTGTATCATTGGGGAGAGGAAAAAAATTAAAAGAAAAATTAAAAAAAAAAAAAAAAAAAAAAAAGAGAGAAGAGGTTCAGATTCAACTCAGGAGACCACAGGTTACTATTATTCAGAAAGAGCAAGAGAAAAGCAATGTTTATTTACAGGGATAAGGTAAGTATTCCAGCATCAAAGCATAGATTTCCCAGTGAACACAGTCATCCTACCCAGTTAGAGTCATCCCTGAATAAATACCAGGCTATGATAAAATACCGCAGAAAAAGGATTAAGGGAATCACATGAGAAATCTGGGGGTTAATTCTTTGTTCTGATATAAAAAAGTACTAGCAAGACTTCAGAATGCATATTTAAATAGCATTTCCATCTTCAGCCGTACAAAAGAGAGACAGCACACGCAAGGTCTACTGTCAAGCAGAAATAGACAAACTTCAGCTTTACCATGTGAATGTTTAGCCAGAAGGTTCTTAACTTTCACGGAATTATTAACAGCAAATTCCATTAGAGAATGGTGGAATGGAACAAAAAAAATTGTCTACAAACAATTTTAATCATATTGCGCTGCTTTAATTATGTAAAATATTATGAAATAACAAATACTTTATGCATGAGTAGTGAGAGAAGTGAGTAATTTAAACATTGTACATTATAATGATAATTGGATGAAGCTATCTTCTTAGATATTCTTCCCTTCTGCACCTGTTCAAATGTGTATTTTTCCACTGGAGTAATAGAGAAATACTCTTTTCAGGCTGGGACAATGCTGAGTTATATTTTTCCTACTGGCCCTTCAAACAAGGGCCCCTTTCTTAAAAGAATCAAATCAAAAAACACACAAGCCTATAGAAAGAATAATGAACATTTCATAATGTTCAGAGTGTGGCATTTTTAACAGTGTAACAAGCATAACAACAGTGAACTGAATGCACAAACCTGGGCTTGTCACCATACTTAAACTCAACTTAAATATCATTATTGTTGTTTACTTGATTTTTTTTTCCAGAGTTGGAGGTTAAGGAAGGAAGGAAGTATTGCTTGTGGGTTTTTTCCCCCTTTCTTTTCTGTAAACAATAATGTAAGCTAAGAATTATAATTTAAAATTATTTGGTTTCATGCAATTTTTACTGCAAACTTAACATTAACGCACATTAATAAATAGAACAACAGTTTGTGCTTTACTCACAGAGTTAAATCAATCTACTGCAATCACTGAAAGCATATTTGATGAAAATATTTTCACATTACAAATTTTTCACAGGACTAGGCAGGGATTTTCGTCTAAGTGCGGCAGTTACACCATTGTGGAGACTTTCATCTGTCAAACAGGGGGCAGGTTTGTTGGAAGATCAAGAATTAATAATGGTGATGACGTGTTTTGCCAGCAGGTTTAGGACACGGAGAAGTGGCTGTGTGAAACGGCGGGCGCGGGGAGGTGGCGGGAGCGCATCCCGGCTGCGAGCCGGGGAGTCCGGGGAGACGGGGGCGGCGAGGGCCGGTGCCGCCGAGGCGGGCGGCGCGCGGAGCTGTCTGCGGTGCTGAACGAGGCGGCGGCGGGGAACGCCCCGCGCACCTGCGCGCCAAGGTGAACCTGCCTCCTCCACTGCTTAGCAACTACCGCCTCACCAAAACACAGCGATAATGAAAACAACCACTGCAAGAATGTTGGTCTCAAAGCCACACACGCAAAGCCACTGCTGCTGAGACACGCTCTAAATCTTACAAAATCTCCATTCCAAAACACAACCTCCAGGTCTGCAAGAGGCAAACTCATGGTCCAGTTTAACTATTCGGTGTCAGAGCAGAACACGCAGGCAAGGTCATTTAAAAGGACTGATTACAGTCACCTTATCTGCCTTCACTGGACACTGAACAGGTTTGCATGAAAAGCACGACTCTTCAGCTTTCCTACCAAGAAACCAAGGGAATAGACTACTGAAAAAAAATTGAATCCCATTTCAGTTGGTAAGTATTTCAGGTCATCAGGTACTTCTAAATATTAAACCTGAAAATGGCTGTAACTGCTAAACTTTGACCTTATTTCCCAGAGTATTTAGGTTCATGTTTCATAGGAAAAACAAACGAACAAACAACCCCCCCCCAAAAAAACCACTTTCTTTTGGCAGGTTTGGCAGACAGTACAGTATGTTGATGTTCTGCTTTTCTACACACACACACACACACACACACACACACACACACACAAAAAAAAAAAAAAAAAAGAGTATTCTTCCAGTGAATTCCTGCTAATTTACTCTATACTAGCTGATATTGAGTAAGGACTTTTCAGAGAAAATTGAAAAGAAATAACCAAATTTGAACTGGATTAACCAACAGCTGCTACAAACAGAACCAACCATCTGTGTGCATGATTCCACAGAACTCATTCATGGAAGACTCCCCTACACTTGGAGAGTATTTGTCCGAATTAAAGCCTGAGAAACTGACCTCAAAAGAAACTCTTCAGAAAATCAGCAGCTTTAAGTTTGTTTAAAAAACACTGCATATGCACTGGATTATGAACTTAAAGAAAAGAGTAGGTTCTGAGTATTTTATATTTCTAAGCCATTAAGTATTTTAAAGGTATCTCTGGATTTCAGATTTCAACTGTAGTATAAATTTGTCACCACTGACATATTTAAATGTTGCTCTGCATACTTGCATGTTGCATTTTAAGAAGTCAATGTGTGGAAACCTATCACGCCTAAAGGAAAAAGTTATCAGATACACAATAGCTAGCCATGGTACAATGTCCTTTCCTTCCTGCCCCTTGGAGCTGCAGTTAAGCCCAGGCCCTACCACAACCATTGCAGTGTACAGTGTCTTTCAGATGAAAAAAAAAAAAAAAAAAAAAAAAAAAAAAAAAAGGTATGACCGTTTAACAAATGGGTATGCTTGTGCTCTATAACTTGCAGGATTCAAAACTTTATTAACCTTAAGTCATACAAACGCACAACTTCTCTGTGCAGTCCTAAACAAGAAGGAGTTCTTTAAAATTATTTAAAAAAGGGGGAAAAAAGGGGGAAAAGAAAGATATGCCACTGAAGATTTTTTTTTCTGATCCATAAAAAAAAGTCTTTGAAAGACTTAAAATTTGCATCTCTTTAGCTAAAGAAATGCAGATAAATACTGCAAGAACTCACAGAGAACCTATGCAGAAACCTGTAACTGTTTGGGTTATCCTGTATATGATTTAAAATTTAAAATCTCTGGAAAATGGGGGGAAAAAAAGTCCAAATCCTTACAGAACTTGTTTTTTCAGCTTTGTTCTTCTTCAAGCAACTCAAGATACACTGAAATAGAAGGCTCTCACAATGCAACACCTAATTCATTTATTTTTCCACAAATAAACCTCTTCATTAGCACTCCAATAATTTCTAGTTCTAATTCTCTTACAGTAACATCTAGTTATTGAATATTGAATAAGGTCAAGCAGTTGTCCATCTTTGATACTAGTATAAAAAAAGTGAGTTTTGTGCCAGAAACAGAAGTTTTTCCATGCATAAAGACTGCATTTTGGCAAAGAGCTCATTCACTAAGACAATAGACGATATTTTCTTTAACAGTACAGTAGTCTGTATAGACTGCTCTTTCATGTAAGAACTAATGCAACAGCCATTTTCAAGAAAGGGACTATGCAATTTTTATCTTTTTTTTTTTTTCTTAATTGGCAAAACTAAAAAAGCCTTCTTTGCCCTTGAAGACTGTCATTCCAGCCAGTATCCCAACATCTCCACAAAGAGTAAAAGCGCCAATATACTTACGGATGTTTTTCACTTCAGAACTTTGAAAACTGTTATATGTTTGAATTTAACTGAAATCCACAATTTTCATCTCTTGAGCTGAAGCGATCAGAACTCAGTAAACTCAGCAAAGCTAAAGATGGGACAACATCTGTTAGACTTTTTTCTATGGCTTTGATATTTATATTCCTCCTACCTTTAGTCCTACCTGCCTTGAAAGTTTTCCTCTGTCACATTCACTGGTGGCTGCAGTTTTGGTTGCATTAAATAAGTCCAACATAAACATTCCCCATCTCTTTATATTCCTCTAAAGCATGCTCGTTTCTGAGACAGAATAGAAAAGATTACGTACCTAGAAGTTCGAGAAGTCTTTTCCCTGAAAATTATGCCTGCCATCCAAAGGAAATATACAACCCAAAATTTAGTTACTAGGAAATAAACGAGCATTGTTCTACACAGAAGACAAAAGGCATGTTACAGAGAAAGCATGTTACATCCTTGGGATGAACAGATCCTTCAGCACAATTGCAGGTAACAGTCCCCAGTAGACAAAGCTTCCTGGCACATATATGTCATGTAGCGTATTGTATTTCTCTCCAGCACTGAAGTATGTTCACTGACCACTGGGACACAAATGATAAGTGTTTTTGCTTTCTGGAACCACGGGAAGTACTTACCACAGCAACACCTTTAGAAAAAACAGCTCTGTGACTGCTGCCACTACACCGGACCGCAGTTAACTTGCAAAGTGAAGCCTTACCTGGATTTCCCTGGCGTGGTACACGATGATGAGGCCGAGCAGGATGATCGTGGAGAGGCTAATAAGGCATTTCAGAGCGAGGGAATACAGCGACTCCTGCAACGGCAACACACGGGCGGCTCTCAGGGACGCGCACACGGCGAAACGCGACGCGCCGGGGTCACCTCGAGCAGCGGCCGCCGCGCCCGGGCCGGGGGTCGCCTCCCCTAACGGCTGCCGCGCGCGGGGCGGGGCGGGCTGCCTAACGGCTGCCAGGGGCGGGGCGGGGGTCTCCGCGCCTAACGGCCGCCCGCGGGGGGCGGGAAGGGCCCTCCTCGCCTAACGGCCGCCGGTGCGAAGGGCTCGCCGCGCCTAACGGCCGCCCGCGGGGGGCGGGAAGGGGTCGCCTCGTCTAACGGTTGCGGGGGACGGGGGTCGCCTAACGGCTGCCGGGCAGGAGGGTCCGCTCGCCTCAGGGCTCTGCTGGAACGGGGTGTCCTCTCTCGCATCGGGCGGTACCTTGGTGTAAGCGCCCCAGGACAGCTCGGTCTCGATGACCATGACCACGATGCCGAACATGCCGAAGATGAGCGCGTAGTCGCTGAGGCGCTTGCGCTTCTCGAAGAGCGCGCGGCGGTGGCCCAGCTTGTAGCCGATATTCTGGTTCTTCTTCTTGCTGGACTTGCCGCTGCCGCCGTTGTTGGCGGCGCCGGGGCCCGGCCCGGGTCCGGCGGGGCCGTAGAGCGCCAGGTTGTTGGAGTTGTTGTGCTCGGGCTTGGACACGACGATCTCCGGCGCGGCAGCGGCGGCGCTGGCGCTGGGGCTCGGGCTGGCGAGCGGCGGCTGCAGCGGCTGCGCCTCGGAGTCCAGCTCGTGGAGGTTCCTGCGGGACGCGCTCAGGTTGCTGAGCGGCCGCATGACGCCGCCGTTGTACCTGCAGCTGCTCATGGCTATTTCGGTGAAGGGGTTGCTCTCGCGGCGCTGCTGCTGCTGCTGGTGGTGGTGGTGATGGTGGTGGTGGTGGTGATGGTGGTGAGCGCTGCTGCTGCTGACGCTGCTGCTGGGGCTGGCTGCCTGCTGCTGCTGCAGGCTATGGCACTGGTGGTACTGGGCGTACTGGTGGGGCTGCCTGGCCGAGCCGGCATGGCTGGAGGGGGTCAGCTCGCTGACGTTCAGCTGGCTGCCCTGCCGGGACGAGGCGGCCGAGGAGAGCGGCGACGAGTGTGCGCGGAAGGCGGCCGAGAGGGGCGAGGAGGCGCGGAGCAGCAGGGGCAGGTTATCCCCCGCCGCCGCGGCCCCGTAGTAGGCGCAGTTGTTGCACTGGAGACATGGGCTCTGCTGCTGCTGCGGGAGGCTCTGCTTGTCGTGTCCGTGCGGCGGCGGGCACTGCGGCGGCGGGCGCTGCTGCTCGGCGCAGAAGCCCGGCGCCGACTGCCGCGCTGCCTCCATGCCCGCGCCGTTAAAGCCGCAGGAGGGCCGGGCGGCGCCGCGCGCTGCGCAATGCGTTATGGTGCGCAGCGGAGAGTCCCGCCGCCGCCACCGCGGGCCCATCCCGGCTCCCGTAGAATCCAGGCGCCGCCTCCCATTGGCCGCGCGCACCAAAACAACGGGCATCACGTCACCTGCGGGGGGGGGGGACCGGCCGCGGCGTGAGCGAGGCGGGGGCGGGGCCGAGGGCTGCCCGCCCCCTCCCGCTCGCGGGGATCCCCCCGCCGCCCCCGCGCGCGCGCGC